CATATATATTATATATCGACGTCGTTTATTGGACCGCCACCAACTACACAAAGCTTCCACGTTATAATATATATAATGTTCAACCTCACATATGATATAAATATTGTATATTATCATTGGCTTCGTTTTCTAATCGTCGCACGACAAACTCACGATGAGTATGTGTATACATAAATATAATAATAATATATACTCACATGCCCTGACGCGTAGATCGTATATCTTCAGCGTGCGGTCGTGGCTGCCGGTCACCACTTTGTTGGGTTCGCCCATGAACTTGGCAGCCATCACTTTGGCGCAGTGTCCAGTTAGCGTGTGCTGAAACAACGAAAATACACAAACYGTATTATTATAACTTCACAAGAACTAAAATAATAAAAACAATAATAATAATAATGATAGTAAGTAAATAAATAAATAAGGCTGTGCGAACTATATCGCTATTTATAGACGCATATACAGGTGGTTTAGTATAACTTGTATATAAGCGAAATAAGCAATAAGAGTAGGTCAGGTTAACAAAACTAAGACCACAGAAAAATAAATAATRTTTAATACAGCCGCCTAGGCATGACATGTAAAAACTATAAGTAGGTACAGTATGAGTGTTCGAATAATCGAGGGAAAAAAATCAATTCAAATTAAAAAGAGGTGAAAAATTGTATGTATGTATAGGTACATATTACATTTATTTATTATAAATACATATTCTTATATTTTACAATTATTAATTTACATTTTTTTATCATATCATTATGGTTTACATATCAAAGAAATCTGTTATTTTTTGTGATAAATTGCAGGCCAGAATCTGGTCCATAGCGTTGTCTAACTTACTGATAACAAGATTTTGATTCGAATTATAGAGGTTTGTGGAATAAAAATTCAAATTCTAGTCTGTATCCCACCGACAGACATTTCGAATTTTTGAGGAGACCAGAATACATGTATTTTCTTCTAATYATAGAGGTTTTCTCAGGGGACTTGGCGTTTAGTTCGATTTATGGAGTTTTTCGAATTATTGAGTGCTCATATATTATGTATGTTGAACCAGCAGTCGCTATAATGTTTGACGAGAAGACATAAAATATCATATTAATTATAGCATGAAAATTAGGTAGGAATAGTGTTTGTGTGTGTTAAATAAATTCGATTATATCTTGTTCARTACTATTTTTCAATATAAACGTACATTTTAACCCTGATTTGAAACCGGTTAATTCGTGGTTAAAAACGTGGAAAAAACCACGAAAAATAACGAAAAGTCCTCTCCCGATCCATGATATTAACTACAATCCAGCCTAACTAAAGTTGTTTTCATATTATATATTATAGGTTATAAATTTAAGTGACATCGAGTGTTCTGTGATGGGAATAAAAATTCACCCTGTGCAATATTGAAAACACTGAACAATTCGTATAACCTATATGTAGATAAGCTAAATAGTTGCTACTGTGAGTACTCGACATGGAAAAAATATCATAAGCACCGCGTCCACCGCCGTCGACAATGTAAGTCTTTCGCGACCATACGACCTATGCGTATACCGTGGTTGTGTATACCTATTAAAATTACAAGARTATAATATGTAGGTATTTATACATAATATGCGTGTGTAGGCTCGTACACGCGCGTTTTGTCATCAAACTAACTGTATTGAGGTAATATATTATTACCTATATGTTATCCCGCCGACGGTGCAACTTTATATAGTTGCATATATTATGTTTGATATATTATAATAGTTACCAACCGGAGACGACGACAATACGTGTACCTACTATGTTAATAATTTTTTAAATATTCTTTTTTCTTTTTTTAATACTATTATGTTCATATACTAATCATAACCCACTCGTATGTGTGTGTGCTTATAAACGCCGTCGTCTCTGCGTGCGTTTGTATGCAGGTATATTCCTGTCGTTCGTGCGCGCAATCGTCATGTTTGTSTGAGTCTACGCGTATTTCTACCATCGTCGGYCGATGAATGGAATTAATTTCCATTTATAATAATAATAATATACGACGGCGATGCGATAAGTCTGGCGGAAAATGCCGACGCATATAACTGATGCAGTAGTATACCTACGTCGTTATTATTTTACGTTATGCACCATATGGAAGCACGCTAATAGAACTACCCTGCTGCAAGTCTATGCTGATGACACACACACATATATTGCACACCCATTTATGTATCTACATACTGAGTGCCTCGCCATTTTTGTACCTATACGTAATCGCGTGCTCGTCCGACCACTATTATAATACACTTCAGCTATATTGGAAGGTTTAATGGAAATAAGAAATTCAACTTAAAAAAAAAAATTTTACATAAATTATAAGCGCTGTAATCTCAACTGCAATGTAATTATTGGYGGCAGTCTCGGTGGTAACTGAATATTTTTTTTAAATTAAAAATTATAATAATGACGTGACTCATTTGATAGCGATTTTTTGCAATATAATATTTTGAAAATAATAATTAAAAATAAAATAGTTATTGACAGTGACAAACATGGATGAGTATTTCAATTGACGTACAAATGCCGATGGTGGAATTTTTATATAATGTTAGTTTCGATTAACGTGTTCTAATAATTCCTATAGATATTACAGTTTTATATTTCAGTTTTCTATATATTTTGTGCGTCACTTCGAGCAAACCGAACCAAAATACAAACATCATATTATTATATTATTATATTATTATATACACATAAGAGTCGATCATGCTGCAAAAGCGAAGCCCTCAAGGTAACAGGGCAGGACAGCACGTCGGTTCTTGTTGCAGTAAATGCGCACATACATATATTTTAGGCGATTGTGAACTATTATAATAATATGTTCATTTACATTTTCTATTATGTGATGTAAATCTACAAGTGTACTTTTAAACATTTATATAGAATAACGATYCACGCACGCGTGTGTGTATTTATATATTGGTAAAATGCAATATAATATATTATAATATAGTATCATCATCTTCTTTCTGCTTTGATATAATATTACGCTTATCAAGTATATAATGATGATTATAATAATAATATATGATATACGATGTAATAATATTTATGTAGGTACCATATATTAGCATGAAATGTGCAGCGTGCATACCTATACATGTATTTGTATTCGTAATAATCCGACAGACGTATAATATAATATTATATTGCATATAATATACTTGTTACACGACCTATAAACATTGTCTAATATATTATCATATTATCATTGTTATTACAATATATTATTTAACTTTCCCAGTTCCAATGATAGAAATTATGTCGAATATGTTCTTCAGACGAAAATCCTACTTTTATATACATTTTTTTATGAAAACTTTGAGGTATTAAAATTTAATTTCGAATGAATATTTGTCGAATTAGTGCGCTAAAGATAAAAGATCCTTGATAGTGGGTTACAAGATCTGGGGACTATGGACATTTGGAAATGTCAGTAGTAAATATTGATCTATAAGTATATAAACATCAATAATTTATAAAATTTATCCAATTATAATAATAAAAAATAATACTAGATAATATAATATTACACACATCTAATATTTTTGTATTTTTTAAGATTATTTTCATCCTAATATTTTAATAACCGAGAGCAAGTAGTTCAAATTTTGTAAGAAAGGTACATCAACATTTTCAATAAAATTACCCATTAAATTATAAAATATAAAATTAGGGTTTTCATTAAAAAAAAATTTGCACAGTCACGGAAAACTTCTTAAGTAATACGAAAAATCTTAAAAAATTKAAAACATGACCTTTAAGGCTTTAAATAAATTTTTAATATCATCAAATGAATCAACGGGGGTGAGGATGCTCGGTGAATCACCATGTTTACGAACCAGAGCGTATAAAGTACACATAATATGTAGCTAAGATATCTATAATATGTAATATTATATCGTCGTTACATTTGTTTTCGTGTGGACGTTAATTATACGTATAGGGCGCGTTGAAAAAATGAATAAACGAAAGAATAGAAAAAAGTATGCAGCGAAATAAAACGTATCAAACTGCAGGCGCAAACGGTTCGTTGCGCGGCTAAAACGGGTACATAATATATTATGACCTCCTATCATAAGCGGAAATATTTTCGAGTCTATAATAAATTTTTACGACCTACTACACTGCAGCCCGTGCACTGCACGGCTCACCACGGGTTCAACGCGTTTATTATTTATGCGACATATAATAATATAATAATTTAACGTGACCTACCAAATTGTAATGCTTGGCCGGACCACGGCACACGTCTGCAGATCRCGTTATTTTACGGTCTTCGTAAGTAGTTTTATGTGGGTACTTATGTGTCTACACGTGATTATTATAGCTAGCGTATGACCGCAGTGAACCGAATATAGACTAAATGATTAAAATATTATTTCGATATCGGTATAACATGTTAAACAATTAGTTTAGATTATATAGGTACTAGGTAGGTTAGATTCACGTCATGATCACAAATCTAAAAATATTGACTATTAATACAGGCTATATAATACATATATTAAAATAAAAGTATAAAGAGTAATTATTWTATCAAAAACTACCAATGACTTTGAACATATTTTTTTACATAATTTCAACCTTTAAGTGATTCCATTTTGGGAAAAAAATTGTTATTATTATAACTTTTAAAGTTTTTACTTTTTTAACGGTATAGTTTATTTTGGTTTACGCGACTACGCTCTGGTATATAAACATATACATTAAGAAATAAAAAATGTATTTGAATAACTTAAAGATTGTGTATGWTTAAAATTATTTGAATGTATTGGATTTTTCTTAAATGTTCGCCTTTTTTAATTGAAAAAATAAATTATAGTCACATTAAACATATCATCATGATTGTTATTATTGATAGCCGCAATTGTTTTTACGGACTTGGGTGGTCGGGTCGCGGAAAGGGCACGKCGACAATATAAAATATATCGTAAAGACCGGGTCGTGCACGTTGCGTCCGTTATAAGTCCATTATATACACTGTATGAATGTCATTATCAGAATTTTGTCGCGCCCGAAACTCGTTTTGGGGCCAGTTGT